CTAAATTACATACAGATTTCTAAGACAATTTCTGGGCCGAGCGCTGCGGCTAGGACAGGCTAGGGGGCCGGGCGCTGCGGCCACAAGTCCATAAAGCAGCTGTAATACCACGTGCTAACAGGTCGGATCTGTAGTATAGCGGATTTGGCGTAGGTCACAAGTGGAGTATGGCGGATATGTGTAGGTCGAAAAATACACCACCTATATATATCAGAAAATGTCGTCGTTGAAATCTCATTATTATGAAGTATCCAAACCAAACAATGTTTCTCTTAGTGCAAATGCCGCAATTGTTAACAACCTCTAGACGTCCTTCCTTGCTCCATTTTGCAAATTGCCGATTATATCACATCAAACAGCTTCGTGACATTCTCTACAATTGTTACACGCCCAAAGTTACTTTGTTGTGTTAGAAATTAGCTTCACTCCAGTGTTTTCGATCGCTTTTGATTATGTTAAATCATTTGGGTATGAAGTATACTTATCGCTCTATGCCGGCCGGTCTAAAACAACAATTTCAAATGTTATTTAGATTTAATGATTTACGTTTGGTTTTAAACTTAAAAATTATTTTTAATCACGTTCTGTGTTCAAATTTAAGATTACTAGTTCCTTCGGAATAAATAATTGAAAACCCGGTCGACGAGAGAGTGACACAAAAAATATAAACTATAACACGAAGAAGGAGTTAACAACCAAATTTCCTATGAATGTTTAATATAACCGATAACCAACATACAAGGATCATGCCTCTAATCAACAGAACGGGTCTGTCCTTAAACTGATTTAGCGAGGAAATTTGAAACCGGTTTTGGAACTATTTAGGATTGCTATTGGGTAAATTTACATACAATGGCTGTTTAACAAGTAACCACTAAATTTCGCCTAAAAATTCAACTTTCTATAAGTGTTTCGGATAAACTTTTCTGGGAAATGACAATTTTGCACTGTGAGATTTAAATATTTAGATCGATACACGCGAAGACTGACCTGTTTTCAACATCATTTGTCCAGGGAGGTTTAACCGATTCTTAATAAAATATTTCAGAAAAAAAATGATGGATCTCATACTAAGTAATCTAACTTATGAAACAGTGTTTTTGGGACTTCTTGCCTCCTTAGTTTTCACGATTCTCCTCTATCTAATTGTGTCCGGTCTATTCTCAAGTATAAACATTGAAACTAAAGAGTTCAAGTACGGACCAATGGTGATAGCGTACAAAACTCGGACCGGAGCTTACAAGCAGGCTGGAGAACTGTTTACTGAAAGCTACTGCTTAGTTCCAACCAGGGAACAGATAGGGATATATTATGATGATCCGGAGACTGTGCCGGAATCAGATCTCAGGTTTGCAGTCGGACCGATCCTTAGTCACGGAGACGATCCGCCGAGTAGGAAGGAAATGGAGTTGTTAATCTCTCATGGTTTCAAGATATTCCATGTTCCTAAAGCGCATTTCGTTGTAACTACTACGTTTCCATTCAGAACAACCCTTTCCATCTACATGGCCATTTTCCGTATTTACCCAAAATTGCGAAAATACATTTCGGAAAGAAACCTGTGTGCGTATCCTGCTATCGAGGTTTACACAGACTCCGAGATTATATTTCTGATGCCCTTGAGTAGACAGGAGGAATTTTTTATTCCGGAGGTTATGGAAGAAGACATCTCCGTGGCTACAACCGATATGGGCAGTGTAATTGGTGACCGAGATACGGTATCCAAGGACGATGATCTCTTCTTAAAACCTCGAACCCCGCTCAGGATAACGAAACCCAGACTATCTCTTGAAGACGTAAACGAAAGTGAAACCTCGGATGAAGACAAGGTTGATAACTCAGAACCCGAAGAGGGTTCTACCACTTCCAGCTTTGACGATCTAGCAAACGATTCAGAGACAAAATCGCGAGCCAGTTAAACTTTTGTATTTGTTTTGTTCAGTATTTAATGTGATAAAAGTTCAAAGATGATTCATGCTAATTTAATGTGATTCTTTCAGGCAAGATGAACCGACGAAAGCGCGCTCATGACGATGACGATGGATACAGGTCCAAGAAGAGGAGAACCAACGAACATATGGAAATAGAGGACAGGTTGGAGTCTCTTATTCTCCGGGTAGGAGAGAAGAGCACTGCGTCCCTTGAGAGTAACCTGGAAGGGTTGGCTAGTGTACTAGAGGCTGATCTATCAACCTACAAGAGTAAGATCTTGAAGATATTGATCGAGTGTGCGATAAAGCTGCCTGATAAGTGTACGATCTATACAACTCTCATTGGTTTACTTAATACTAAAAACTACAACTTTGGAGGAGAATGCGTAGAACTGCTGGTGAAGTCCACCAAGGTAAGAATTGAAACCAAACTTTACTGATCATAAAAATATTCTCTTCACTTATTTATATGTTTATGCAAGGAAGATACACCAGGAATTGAAACCAAACCTTACTAATCATAAATATATTCTCATCACTATATTTATGCAAGGAATATACACCAGGAATTGAAACCAAACTTTACTTTTCATAAATATATTCTCCTCACTTATTCATATATTTATGCAAGGAATTTTGTTTTACGATGTACACAAAGAGAACATGTTCACAACTAATTTAGAAGATGGGAGCGAAGCGCCCTCTAAGGCTAGAAAGAAGGGCGCGAAGCGCCTTGAATTTCTAGTAATCATATATTTATGCAAGTAAGATACCTAGGAATTAAAACCAAACTTTACTGATCATAAATATATTCTCCTCATTTCTTCATATATTTATGCAAGTAAGATACACCAGGAATTCCCAAATAAGTGTACTGTAGAATCTGGAAGTTTGTTTCTTTATATCCAATAAACGTCAAACTCAAAACAGCTAAACCGATCGGACCAGATTTTTTTAAGGCAACTCGCACGATATTTTAAAACCTATCTAAAATCCGTGAAAAAAATCAAACTCAACCGAATTTATTAAGGATTGTTTGAAAAGTCTCCGTTGGGCTGATGCAAGGTTCCTGCTCCGGTTTATGTCTGATCTAGTAAACTGTCACGTGGTATCTGCTGGATCCCTGCTCCAGCTTCTAGACAACTTTGTTGATGCTGCTCTAGAGGAGGGAGTCCCACAGGTTCGCAGAGATTGGTTTGCGTATAGTGTCCTCTCCGCTCTACCCTGGGTAGGGCGTGAACTCTATGAGAAGAAGGAGAGTGAGCTTGACCGGATGTTGGGAAGCCTGGAAGGATACATCAAGCGCAGGAAAAAGATTCACCACAACGCACTCCGTGTTTTTAAATCCGACCATCCGCATCCACAAGAGGAGTACCTGGACTGTCTCTGGCAGCAGATAAAACGTCTCCGCTCCGACATGTGGATTGAGAAGCATATTATCCGACCTTATCTTGCCTTTGATTCCACCCTCTGTGAGGCTCTGCAACATAATCTACCCAGTCTTGTTCCTCCCCCACACCATCCTAGTACCCTGTATCCTCTACCCACTGTTATATTCAGGTAATTAAGATTGTTAATTGTGTTTGCAAGATTTAAAGCGAACTTACACTTCAACATGCAAAAAATTGTTTTTGCCAAAAATTCTCAAACTCTTAATTCTTTTTCTGTGAACTTGTTGCGACTAGAAGATTGCAGCTTTTAATGTTTTTCTGTAAAGCTCAGAGGGGAAAACATTGTTATATATTTTAGCATCAAGTTAAAAAGTTATCACCATTCAGTCTTACAGGGGTTTATTTATTTTGAAATTTTACCCACTCTTAAAAAATTCTTTTCCCCCTATATGTGAGACTGGTTTTTTAATTACTGAATTGGGAGAAACTAATTAATTAATAAATTTGAATGATTTTGTTTAGAATGTTTGATTACACTGATTGTCCTGAGGGTCCTATACTGCCTGGTCAGCACAGTATTGAGCGCTGGTTGATCGAGGAACAACTCCGGCACATCATGATGTCCAACCACGAGGAGAGGAAGGAGTGCGCCGCACAGCTTCTTTCCTATCCTCTCAAGAACAAGATTCCACTTGAATATATCATTGTCGAGGTTATGTTCGGAGAACTATTCCGTCTCCCAAACCCCCTGTGTCTTGAGATCGCGTATGGATCGATTATGATTGAGCTTTGCAAACTTCAGCCTAGCACTATGCCCCAGGTTCTGGCTCAGGCTACAGAGCTACTGTACGAAAGGATTGATTTGATGAATAAAACATGTTTTGACAGATTTGTAAACTGGTTCTCATATCATCTGTCAAACTTTCAGGTAATAAATAATGACATTCAAAATATATTTAATTATGAATTATTGTATTTTCAAATTTTTATTTTAGTTCCGTTGGAGTTGGGATGATTGGGATGATGCTCTGAGCCAAGATCCCGAGCAGCCTAAAGCCAAGTTTATTCGTGAAACTCTGCTCAAGTGTCTCCGTCTCTCCTACCATCAACGAGTGGTGGAGCTTATCCCAGAAACATTTGCCGCATTTCTGCCTGATAAACCAACTCCAAACTTTAAGTTTGCAGTGGACGGACCATATCCTGGCACTGTCGAGACAAGAGCTTCGGCAAACCTAATCGCGGCTGTCAAGAGGAAATGTACCTCCGATGAGATTCTTGTTCTCCTGAAGCAAGAGCTTGATCCTCCAACAGGAGAAGACGATATCTCCGAGGCAATCTATAATCCAGCCAAGATAGAAGTGTTTGTTCAAACTCTGCTCTTTCTGGGGCATAAATCCTTCTCACATTCCTTCGCTGCTATTGCCAAGTTCCACTCCGTGTTTAAAAGCCTGGGTAGCTCCGAGGAAGCACAGATATGTATGCTCCGAAGTCTCATCGAACTATGGAGAACTCATCAGCAGGTAAGACCTTCCTTGAAAACGAATTCTAATCTCTAAATAATCCGACTGAACCTTAATTTAATGATTTTGTATTTTTTTTTTTCACAGGGGTATATATTTAAAAAAAATGGTTGATATGGGGGGGGGGGTATGTGGGAGGAGTAAAAATTGGATGCCAAATTGCCGTTCTTGCACCTTTTTTGAGTCGTTCCCCCAAAACATCTGTTATTTCCCCCCAATTCAGCGAATAAAATCCACAGAAAAACGTTAAGCGTGCACATACTTAACATCTGGGAAAATGCGGATGTTGTAGAAGGGAGAATGGGGTGAATAATTTTCAAGAAAATATAAACCAACGGTTTTTATTTTTTAATTTATATTCTTTCTTCTTTTTTATTTCAATATTAATTTTAAAAACCTGTTCTAGATGTTGGTTGTCTTGATCGACAAGATGTTGAAGACACAGATCGTAGAGTGCGCCGCAGTTGCCAACTGGGTGTTTAGCAAGGATATGGTACCAGAGTTCTCCAAGTGTTATATCTGGGAGATTGTTCATCTAACTATCAGGTATAGTGTTAAACTCAAAACAGTTACAAGAATTTTTAACCCCAAAAATATTATTTTTTGCAATGCTAGTGGGCCATCCGGATCCCGGGTTCTTTATGTTAAAAAATGGATCCGGATCCAGCTCAGAAACATTTTTCACGTTTTAGCAATTTCATTTACTAAATAAAATTAAAATATTTTTTATCTTTTTTTGCCAATTATTTCCAAACTCGAACTTTACCATTGAGCGATCAAAGAGGGGTTAACAACCTCTCTAGTCAACACTTTAATAACTTAAGCAAAAAATCTTTTAAAAAAAATCATTTTGGTTTATATTTTGCCTCTTGGCTCTAGATCCAGGGAGATTAAATCTTCTGGATATGGATCCTTAGGACTGCTTTTTTATATTTTCACTATTTCCCATCTCTTTGCCAATAAAATCCTAAGATGTTTTGATGAGATCAGACCAGTCTTTTTCTCGTATTTATAAACATCGCGTTTTGTAATTCATGATGTAATCTGTATTTTTCTCGAATAAAAATTCAACATGTGTTTGTTTGTAGGAAAATGAACAAACACGTTTCCAAGCTGCAGAAAGAGGCAAGTGAAGCAAGAAAGCAGATTGACGACAGTGACAGTGATTCCTCGGACAGCGAGGACGAGACCAGAGGCCGGAGGAAAAGTAAAAATGGAGATAAACCAACCGTGGACCAGGTTAGAATTTAATTGTTTTAAATCAATCAAATAAGTTCACAATCAAATTGTTCTATTCTATTTGATCATAAAAGTTATATCCCTTTTTCTTTGCCAGGAAAATAATTAAGACTGGACTAAAAAATAAATATTCAAAGATTTTGATTACTATTATTTTAAGGTTGAGAAGCTAGAGGATAGATTGGAAACAGCTCAGGCAGACCAGAAGAACCTGTTCCTCATCATCTTCCAGAGATTCATCATGATCCTCTCAGAGCACTTGGTTCGCTGTGACACAGACGCAGTAGATTTCAGGACTCCTTGGTTTCAGTGGACCATTGGTAGACTTCATCAGATATTCATGATTCATCATGAACAGGTATTATACCATTGGTAGACTACATCAGATATTCATGATTCATCATGAACAGGTATTATACTATTAGTAGACTTCGTCAGATGTTAATGATTCATCATGAATATGTTTTTTTTTTGCAATTTTATATAATCATTTAGCGCTTTTAAAAGAAGTTAATTAGCTCGTAACTCATTCAATTTACATTTTTTTAAAAGCGCTTTTCAGATTTGAATTCCGCATAAAATTTCCAAGAAAGTGATTATAACATGACATTTTTTATTTATATTTTTTTGTGGGCCTTACGGTGATATCGTCGATATTAAATAGTCATTTTGCAATCGTATGGACGATTTTGAATTTTTTGATTGCAATATCTTATTAAGTGAATACGCAGCAACCTCTGGTGGGCGGATAGCTGATTTCTAAAAAAAGTCACAAATCAATCACCCTTACTGTATATAAACGTAAAATGTTTGCTAAGGTTGAGAAGTACAGTACAACTCTGGAGACCCTACTCTTCACCCAGGATCTGGACCCAAACATCCTAGATGTTTTTCACCAGTTCGTAGCACTCAGGATGTAACTTGTTTCATTTAACAGTTATTAAAAGCAGTTATGATGTGTTTAACCGCAGTTATGATGTATTTTACCGCAGTTGTGATGTATTTCACTGCAGTTCTGTTGTATTTAACCGCAGTCATGATGTATTCAACCACAGTTATGATGTATTTAACTGCAGTTATGATGTATTTAACCGCAGTTATGTTTTATTTAACCGCAGTCATGATGTATTCAACCGCAGTTATGATGTATTTAACCGCAGTTATGATGTATTTAACCGCAGTTATGTTTTATTTAACCGCAGTCATGATATATTTAACCGCAGTTATGGTGTATTTAACCTCAGTTATGACGTATTTAGCCGCAGCTAGTTATGATGTATTTCACTGCAGTTATGATGTTATTAACCGCAGTTAATATTGAAATAACCGCAGTTATGATGTTACTAACCGCAGTTAATATTGAATGAACCGCAGTTATGATGCGACTAACTGTAGTTAAGACTGAATTAACCGCGGTTATGATGCAACTAACTGTAGTTAAGATTGAATTAACTGTTGTTATGTCTGAACTAACCGCAGTTATGATGCAACTAACGGGCGTTATGATGTAAATATATCATACGACAGTTATGATACTGAAACTTACTGCAGTAAAACTGCTAACTGTTGCAAAATAAAAAGTATTTATACTTCTTTCTTCTATTATTCAGTTCTCTTATTCTGAAAAAATTATGTTCACAACGTATCAAAGACAAAAACTTGATAATAGTTAAAACTACTTTATATTAACTACTTTTCAACCTTTTTTACGCACTATAAAGTGAAATTGGAATCAGTTTGTAACTAAACTAAAACTACTGTTTGTAAATTTTGTTTGTTTGATTTTTTTTTACTTTTGTTTCTTTCTCCTTTGTTAGAGAGGAGAAATATATGTGATTACTCCCATACTGAAGGGTTTAATCACTTAGTATGGAGAGGATCGTATTGTAAATACCCCCAAACTTTAAAAACTACTATTTTCGCCGTTTATTTTCAGAATAAACATGGGCCGCAAGTTCTTTGTTGGTGGAAACTGGAAGATGAATGGAACTAAGGAGAGTATTGACAAAATTGTTGATTTTCTTACCAAAGGACCCTTGGACCCTAATACAGGTTAGTTTGTTTCAAGGGCATTTGGTAGTGCGTACCTCCCAACGAGGGGGATGGGAACCGGGGGGGGGGGGGTTGAAAAAATTAGGGTGGGTACAACAATTAAGTCTCAAAAGCTAAGCGGTGCTTTTTTGAGTTTTCCTCGTTATCCTACTAATAACAACTCTTAATACTAAACTAACCTGTATGCAGAGGTTGTGGTTGGAGTATCTCCCTGCTACCTGGAGTATGTCAGGTCTAAGCTACCCCAAACGATCGGAGTAGCAGCTCAAAACTGCTACAAGGCCGACAGCGGAGCATTTACAGGTAAAATTTCAAGTTTTTTTTACCTAAGATCTGATAAAAATTTTTTTGGTTTGTTTGTCTGTCCGTTTGTATCCAATAAACGTCAAAACGGCTGAACCGATCGTTCCCAAATTTTGTGTGGGACCTCACATGACCCCAGGGAAGGTTTATGGAACATCAAAAATGAAAAAGAAACCCTAAAAAATAGTTAAACTCTTTTAGGGGGGGGGGGGGAATATGCGCCAATTCGAAAAAAATCGCTAAAATTAGAAAAAAAATCTAAATGGCTAACTTTTACAGCAATATTAAAAAGCTAAAATTATAAACAGGAAAGCCCTAAAAGCCTAGTTATTAAAAATTTTGCTGGATAAATAGCGTATTTTTTTCTGTGATTAATTCATAACTTCTTTATGACAACCAAGAATAGATTGCTTATTTTAACAACCTTTACTTCTTTATTTTTGGTAATCCAATAAGCTTTCTAGAGGTTTTGTTTATTATTAAAATAATAACACTATCTAGGAGAGATCTGTCCTGCCATGATCAAGGATTGTGGATGTGAATGGGTGATCCTCGGACACTCAGAGAGAAGGAACGTCTTCGGAGAAACTGATCAGCTTATCGGAGAGAAGGTTGGTTTCGCTCTGAAGCAAGGACTCAAGGTTGTCCCTTGTATTGGAGAGCAGCTGGAGGAGAGGGAGGCCGGCAAAACTACCGAGGTTTGCTTCCGTCAGCTGAAGGCTATTGCTGACAATGTCTCCGACTGGAGCAAGGTTGTGATCGCCTACGAACCGGTTTGGGCGATTGGAACCGGTAAGACCGCTTCTCCTGAACAAGCACAGGAGGTTCATGCTGCCATCAGGAACTGGCTGGCTGAAAACGTTTCTGCAGAGGTAATAATTCAAATGGTTCAAATTCCAGTAAATTTAAGAACAAATTACTGAAAACGTTCTAACTGATTTTTTTTAAAGGTTGCCGAATCCACCAGAATTCTATACGGTGGATCAGTATCTGCCGGTAACTGCCGTGAGCTAGCCGCTTGTCCTGATATTGACGGTTCCCTGGTCGGCGGAGCTTCGCTAAAGCCTGACTTTGTCCAGATCATCAACGCAACCCAGTAATCTGGAATCCTTCCTGAATATTCTGTAGATCGTAGTTTAAACACCAGAGGCTATCATTTTAAATTTACAACTGTGCGCATTAGTTAGTATGCTTTATCTGTCGATGTAATGGTTTTAGAAAATAATGAAAGGCGTCAACATATATTAAATATATTCTTTAAATGTTTTAACTATTCGTTTGTTTTCTTAGGACGTAGTTCTCTACTAGTATAATAATATTTTAAAGGGTCTGTTAGCGTAATTTCAAGTGACCCTCCAAATCACAACGGTAACCTTTAAACCTTAGGCTGATCATTGACGCCAGAGAACTCTGTGTGTTTATCTCTTAAATAGTGTCACAGTTGTTATAAAACGGGAATGAACTTTGGCGTACAGTGTAAACTCATCTCAGCTGACGTTACATGTATTGTATACCTCGAAAATACCGAATATGTAAAAAACGGGTTTTAAAAATTCGAATTAATCATTTATTTTCTGCTACTTAATAAGTAAATATTCATATTTCTTAATAACATGTTATAAGTCTAGTGTTTAACATATACATGCGTTTCTTTAGATTGACTGGGCACAGGTTTACAGGGTACTGTTGTGAATTGGACACTCTACTCTACAGATGAAGGGTCACTTAAAATTACGCCTACAGTCCCTTTAATAAAATAGATTCTTTGAATTGCCTGTCTACAAATACCTACTTTTTACTTGTTAAGAGAAGGGTAAATCCGAGCATTTGATATTTTGAAAAATGAAAAAAGATAGTTTTTGCAGTATTTACGGTTATATGACTATAATTCTTATCATTCTTTTATTATGACGGAAAATATGGTTATCTGCTAGATAAAATAGATATTCCTTTCCGCTCCCCGTGCCTAATTTTTAGAAATTTTAAACTAATCAACATCACTCGAGGTTGAAACTTATTTGTGTATTTTAATTATATTTATAATACGTTCAGTCGGTTCGATTTTCCCTGCTGACCCTTGAGTCCATTCTTTAAATCATTTATTATTTATCTCTTGGCGGATTAATCATTTATTATTTATCTCTTGGCGGATTTACTGATAATCCTTAAACTTTAATCCTTCTATTTAAAAGTTTGCGCTTAGGATATCGATTTCAGTCGATGTATTGAAGCACGAAACCAACTTTACATCGTCTTTGATCTTCAATAGCTACAGTAGTGCCCACTAAAGATGAGGCTAAAGAGACGATGTACAGAAATTGTTCAGTCCGTGATCTTGCATTCAAGGTTCTTTGTGGTCCAAAACTGGCAGACGTTGAACTCCAGCCTTCGAGTGTGCGAGGTTGGGAAGACTTGACTGCCGCGCTTAATTAAAAGCATGATTAAGGGGGATGACATTTATAGATAGAGATTGAATCCTAGCCGCAGCGCTCGGCCCAGAAAGTGTCATAACTTAACCTAACCCGTGGCGGCAGCGCTCGGCCCCCTAGCCTGTCTGAGCCGCAGCGCTCGGCCCAGAAAGGGTCTTAACCTAACATAACCATAAATAAATACTAATTTAATTGAAAATTGTTGAAAAAGTGGGCATGTACAAATGTAAAATCTGCAGTGAAGTCTTCCCCACCTTCCCCAGCGTCTGCCTCCAAAATTGGCTCATTTTGTGCTTAACCATTTACAGGGTGGCCAAAATGTACGGATTGTACGGATTGTTTTTTTTTAACCCTAAAATTGTACGGATTGTACGGATTTGTTTTCAAATTGTACGGATTTTTATCCTGGAAAATACACCGGTTTTTTTAAATTTTCACTCATTTCAGCAAATTTTTCATGAAAATAAAAAAAAATTCTCGTTGGTGACTTTGTAAATTGTACCTTAGCGATGGCAAAGATGTTGGACGTTTGCACGCAATTTTGGTCCTCTTAAATAAATTGAAAGCTGAACGAAATTTTTATTATCTCCAGAAGATTTATTTGAGAGCTCAAAAGGCCAGAACATATTTGTAAAGTTTTTTTTTACAGTTACACACTGTTCTTTCTGGAACAATCATGCTTAGATCCGGGTTGTGCTTGTCATGGGTCCGGGTCAAAGGATAAATTCTAGCTTTATGATCCAGACAGTTTTCATTCCATGCTTTTATGACCCAGTTATTAGGTTTGACCTTTGGTTTAGAAAATCAATTGGTTTATGAGTCTTTCGAGAGATAAAAACAATATCAATATTAGATAAACCTAGTTCTTCTACTCCTTCCAACCTGTAAACCTAGTTCTCCTACTCCATCCAACCTGTATACCCTAGTTCTACTCCTTCCAACCTGTAAACCTAGTTCTCCTACTCCTTCCAACCTGTAAACCCTAGTTCTTCTACTCCTTCCAACCTGTAAACCTAGTTCTCCTACTCCTTCCAGCCTGTAAACCTAGTTCTCCTACTCCTTCCAACCTGCATACCCTAGTTCTTCTACTCCTTCCAACCTGTAAATTCCAAAGAGCTTTGTACTATTCTACCGTCTTTGGTATATCCTAGTTCTCTTACTCCTCCCATCCTGTAAACCCTAGTTCTCCTACTCCTTCCAACCTGTAAACCCTAGTTCTCCTACTCCTTCCAACCTGTAAACCCTAGTTCTCCTACTCCTTCCAACCTGCATATCCTAGTTCTCCTACTCCTCCCATCCTGTAAACCCTAGTTCTCCTACTCCTTCGAACCTGTAAACCCTAGTTCTCCAACTCTTTTCAACCAGTAACCCCTAGTTCTACTCTTTTTTAACCTGTAAACCCTAGTTCTCCAACTCTTTTCATCCTGTAAACCCTAGTTCTCCTACTCCTTCGAACCTGTAAACCCTAGTTCTCCAACTCTTTTCAACCAGTAACCCCTAGTTCTACTCTTTTTTAACCTGTAAACCCTAGTTCTCCAACTCTTTTCAACCAGTAACCCCTAGTTCTCCTACTCCTTCCATCCTGTAAACCCTAGTTCTTCTACTCCTTCCAACGAGGGAGGGAACCCCGGACGCCATGAACCTCTGCTTTCCAGCAACGAGCCTCCCTGATTTGCTAGGCAGACTGGGCCTCCACTTTGCAGACCAAGCCTCCGCTATGCAGACCGTGTCTCCAATATGCAGTGAACGAGCCTCCACCATACAGAACAGTTTTTTTTAAATCTTGGTTTTAATGTTTAATGAAAATGTTAACAATTTTTTTTTTGACGTAGTGGCATAAGGATTTAATAAAGATTAAATTTATTTATTGATTGTCATGATTAAAAACATAAATAGGCTCATAAAGTTGTTTTTAAGATTTATACTAAAACTTAAAACATTTCTTATACAGAAAGGAAGATATTTGGAGAAATATTTCTGGAGTAAATTTAGTTTGTTTTGTTGTAATCTTTGATTTAAACAATTACTTTTTTGAAAAAATGTTAAGATTTAAATAAATTTTACAAATTTTCTAGATTTAATTTGAACTACAAACATTTTTTTTTGCTTGAATCGAAGATTATAAAAGATGAAATTCAATTCAATTCAAATATTTTTCTCTACATTTTTTTCTTTTCATGTCAAGAATGTTTAAAGTTTTATATACTACTTATTAGTCATAATTAGGAACTATTTATGATAATTTTATAAATACTTCTCATCTTTGCGAAATGTACATTAATTGGTTTCTGCATTTTTATTCATGCTTAAAATGACGTCTACAAAAATCCCCCTCTTCTTTTAATGTACATGTTAACGTTTAGGTTCAATGATAAGGAGTCTGTACATTCCATTGTACAAACTATCAGCATTCTATACTCTACCCTTTCTCCGGAAACCTCTCATGCCACTATGTCAAAAAAATTGTTAACATTTTTCATTACACATAAAAAAACCCAAGATTTAAAAAAAAGCTGTTCAGTATGGTGGAGGCTCGTTCACTGCATAGTCGAGGCTTGGTCTGCATAGCAAATCTGGGAGGCTCGTATCTGCATAGCGGAGGCTAATGGCGTCCGGGGGTTCCCTCCCTCTTCCAACCTGTAAACCCTAGTTCTCATACTCCTTCCAACCTTTACTCTAGTTCTCCTACTCCTTCCAACCTGTAAACTCTAGTTCTCCCACTCCATCCAACCTGTTAACCCTAGTTCTCATACTCCTTCCAACCTTTACTCTAGTTCTCCTACTCCTTCCAACCTGTAAACCCTAGTTCTCCCACTCCATCCAACCTGTAAACCCTAGTTCTCCTACTCCTTCCAACCTGTAAACCCTAGTTCTTCTACTCCTTCCAACCTGTATATCCTAGTTCTCCTACTCCATCTAACCTGTAAACCCTAGTTCTTTTACTCAATCTAACCTGTAAACCCTAGTTCTCCTACTCCATAGTTCTGAACATTATATTTTAGTTAAAGTACTGGGAGTGCTGAAGAATCTTTTAAATGTTCTAGTGTCATGATAATGGAATATATATCGACCAGTTAAATATTTAAATGCAATCAATCAATCAAAGTCAAACAAAAAAATTTAGAGCATAATGATAAATAATTTGATTAATCTGTCTCCTGAATCTACTTTCTCTCAGGTTAAACGCAGGGTTATTTTTATTTAAACGTGTATGTATGTAAATACGGTACAAGAATAATATTACGTTTCCATGTTGAGGTCACAATGTACAATCGAAGTAAAAATCTCAGGTGTTGAGCTTCAAATTTGTTTATCACTCATCAGTAGCTGTATAAATTACAAAAACAATATAAACAGGTTTCACGCACAGCAGATGATGTATTAGAGATATTCCTAGCTACGTGCACTGCGCTCAGCTTCAACTAGGCACTCTCGAACGAGGATACGCGCATAGACGATCCCTCGCTTAAGTCTCTCCGCGCTTGATTTTGATCCTGCGTAACAGGGTCGGATATCCTTCGACATCTCCTCAATGACTGAGAGGAGCTGTTGGTACTTAGTCTGGCTGGCGGGATCCAGGGCACCGTTGGTGCAGAGCAGGTTCAGGGAGGAGGGGATAGAGGTGGGTGTGGCGGGGGCAGGAGGGCGGGGAGTATTGGAACCTGTAGGACGAGGAGTACCAGACGGAGTAGGAGTGGAAGGAGTACTAGACCTGGAGTATGGATCCTTGCCGGATACACTAGTGAGAGATGTACCGGCAGCAGCCAGGAGCTGCTGCTGAGCTGTTGTTAAACCTGTAATAGAACTGCTGCTTCCTGAGTTCTGCATAGACATTCCTGTCAGACTGGCGAGCAGCTGCTGCTGTTGGCTAGTGGTTAGTTGTGCTAAACTGCTGCTCATACTGGCTAGAAGCTGCTGCTGCTGTCCTGCGGTTAGGTTGCTGTTCGGACTAGAGAGGAGCTGCTGAGCAGCCAGCAGGCTGGCCATATCCATATTGAAGCAGGAGAAACTAAAATATACATTCTATTAACAACAGAAAACTCATGAAACAATATTTTCCCCTGCGAGTTAAACTTAATCCAGGAATACTTTCTAGTTTCTTTCTCACTTTTATAGTGAACTTTTATAGTGAACTTTTATAGTGAACTTTTTCATAAATTCATTATTGTTATACTTACAAAGGATAACCATAAAACTGTGGAATAGGAATATTACATTATAGTCATTCTTAATTGCGTATTTGATGTTNAAACAGTAATTTGTAATAATAAATCTTACTTACTTCTGCACTTAAAAGAAAAGAATAAAGCCGTTGTTTTGAAGTTATTTTCTGTACGCTTTAACTATAGGATCAGAGCAGTATATATACCGCGAGGTTGTCTGCAGAGCGTATACTTGACGCAGACATAAATAATTTGATTTTACAAACAATAGTTCAGTTCTACTGTATACTGCATGCAACAGGGAGGGAAGGATTGTGAATTTCTGTGATTCAATTGTGAATGTGATTAATATCTTGTGACAGATGGGTTGTGTTTTAAACAATATAAACTAGTTAATACTCCGTCACTTACATGTCTTACCATTCAAATTTGACAGGAATTGTCAGATTTTAAATTTACAAGGTTTTATACTTCAGAAGAAAATATTTTTGGCCATGTTTTTCTTTATCTAAGGAAAGAGGTTAGTTATATTTAAAGGAAAGAGGTTAGTTATATTTGACGATAAGAGAATGGTTACATTTAACGGAATATATATATTAGTTATATTTTAAAGTTCTTTTGATTTTTAGCTGTTTCTTTGTATCTATTTTTCTATTCTAAAATGAAGAAATGGTCTGAATTATCTTAATTAGAATTTATTTAAAATTCCAGTTTTAAAATTTTATTAGTTTTCACCTGAAGGTGCTAGAGTTTTATCTAGTAGAGCAGAGGACGGAGCTAGGAATGTGCTGAACTAGGCAGAAAATCATCTTCAAAAAACAGAAAACTTCTCAACGATTTAGAATTGTTGAATGTTTAGCCTTGAGTTGCAAATTAAAAAAAATAGATCAGTCCTTGTCTAGGAAAGATTAAGCTTTATGAAAAACATTTTAGCCGTAAAAATATTAATTTAAATTTTTGAAGGACGTTCTTTTTTAATGAAATTGTTTTGATACGATGAAAAGGGTTTGGGGGTTAGTTTTTGTTGTGTTTGGTGTAAATTTTATAGGAGGAAGACGTGTAACTAATCATTTATGTCTAATCATCTATAGTTTATTGCTTACTGTATGTATTATGATATATTTGAATGATTCTGAATGCATTGATGCATGATGAGAAACTGGTTTATTAATCTTCTCTGCCTTAGTTCTTACTTAGCTCTTGTCGAGAATAATTTTAGTTGTTGTGTTATACGTCGAGTATACCTTTAGTTGTTGTGATATACGTCGAGTATACATTTAGTTGTTGTGGTATACGTCTAGTATACATTTAGTTGTTGTGGTATACGTCTAGTATACATTTAGTTGTAGTATACGTGTATACTGTATACTAAACAATATTAGTAAAATCATGATATTAAGAAGATGTCAAAGTATGAGTGAATCATCTAGAGAAAGCTTAGAATTCAGATTCTGAGGATTATCCAACTAGTTTCTAGGTTTCAGGGTTTACCCCTTGCAGTTCGAGCTTTCATATTTAATTATTTTATTATGAACTGAACCATGCGCGCAGGTTCTGCTGACGTGCATTGAATCTAAAATATCTCTACCCTTCAAACTATGCAGACACATCCTTTTCATCCAAATTAATGATCAAACAAAAATATTTTTCAACTTTTAAGTATCAAACAACATTTTGAATGTTTCCAAAAGTTTGAACTATTGTTCAATACATTATATTCATTAGCTTTCCTTTGCAAAGTAATTTTTTCCCTATATGTACCTCCTTATAATTATTATTATTCTAATCTATACATAGTAGAAATGTTTCAACATTTTAAAACAATTTTCATAATGTATTAAAATAAAAGCATAATTATTAATAATATTTTATTATTATTATGATCTCTTTAATACAACTTTGTATATTTGGCAAATACATCTTTTTCTACATTGTTGTACAATTCTACAATTCTGGGGTTGACAAGTGTGGGTTTACTCATAATTATGTTAAAAGGGTTTTTAGTAAAATCCTGCTTTCAAATTCACGAATTTAAATCAAATTAAGTTAAATGTTTCAGTGGTAAGTTTATTATGGAAATCTAATTTTGGATTTTCCCCTCTTCATCTTTTTCCTTTTTTATGTTTAGACGCTGCAGAGATATTTGATCCAAAATAATTTAATCTTTTCTTGGAAATCTACTTTCCCTGTAATAGTCAACCCGCTCTACTGAGAATTGTTAAGAACATTCCCGTGGTTCTGCCGAGTGTCCCAATCAAATTTGAGGCAAATCGGTCCATGGTTTCATGAGTTATGATTGGACACCAAAAAATCCAAACAGAGATTACTACTTATTGGATATATAGATTTCCGTACTGCAAAGGGTTCTTAATAAATAATGGAAAGACACATCTTAATATTTTTCTAAAATTAACTACTTCTGCTTATTAGATTTTGGAAGAAGTCTATTAAAGAATAATATACTTTGGTTTGTTTATATTTTTAATTAAATCTGAGATATGTCAATCTTGTATGCAATTGTCTATTTATTTTCCCGCGGTCTGAAATCTTAAATCTGAATACTGAATAGCAAGCTATGAAATGAAGGATATAATTAACTACAGTGTGAACCGTGTTTTATATTATTATATTATGTTTGAAAGTCGTCTTTTATCTTTGGATTGATTTGAGACATTCAGTCTTCAACATGTATGATTCTTGAAACAATAAACACAAAATTTTCCTAGTCCTGGGATTTCCAAAATGGGGTCTGCCTGTTTTGCTGTCAATATTACCGGAGATATTGAGAATTTCGTTCAGAAGTTTCACTTTGGCTTTTTTGTAAAAATACTTTTGTGACGATTGATTCTAAAATTTTACTTCAAAATTTGGGTTAAAAATAAATGCCGTAAATTATTTCAAAGATCAAAGACGACCTTCAAGTCCTCTTGCTACTGTCATGATTTGTGGGACACCCTGTAGCTAAATGGTTTAGTTGGATCTAGTTAGTAGTTTATCGTTATTGCATGGAGCAGGATATTTAAAATTACGTCATCATGATAAATTTGCAGAGTTTTGGGTGTGGCGGGCCTGTAATTGTCATTGGAAAGTACGCATTACGTTGTTACATTTTAAGATAAGGATTATTTATTACACATGTTTTTAACCCAAAGTTGGGGAAAAGTTATACATTTTTCAGACAAATCTGAACTTGTTCGATATTCGGACAGTTGATAATCGTTTTAAGTAATCTTCCCAAGATCCTTGTTTTTTTGGTTTCTAATTCCTAAATCCTTGTTTTGGAGCTTAGAAAATTGCTTAAATTCTTAGTGTATATTTTCTAGTTTGATTTTAAAGTTTCTACGTATCCTAGTTCCTAGTCCCTATTACCCGAGTTTCGTGTTAAAATATCTGGGTTTATTTTCCTTAATTCTGGCAGCTGGATATGACAGATTTTCATAATTATTTTTTTAAACTTAAAACTGATATATTTGGCATACCCAGTCACTTAGATCATTCGGTGTGTAGACAAAATGTATATATAAACGGGG